CGCCCGGCTGTTATAATGCTTTTAGTAGAAGAATACCAGCAATCTGTATAAGCATAACAGCACTTTCATTAACTACCAATCAATATCATATGCTCATAAGAAACGAAAGGACTGGTGTTATCTTCTCCCTTTTACAGATATAGAAACTGAGGCACGGAGTAACTAAGTGACATGTTTCAGGTCATTCAGTTAACTTCAGAGCTGGGAAGGGCATTCACTAGTACAAGAACCCAAGACGTTTCTTTTCTTTCTTTCTTTTTTTTTTTTTTTTTTTTCAGATGGAGTCTCACTGTGTCGCCCAGGCTGGAGTGAAATGGCAGTACCTCAGCTCATTGCAACCTCTGCCTCCCGGGTTCAAACGATTCTCCCATCTCGGCCTCCCAGGTAGCTAGGATTACAGACACCCGCCATCATGCCCGGCTATTTTTGTAGAGACGGGGTTTCACCGTGTTGGTCAGGCTGGTCTTGAACTCCTGACCTCAGGTGATTTGCCCGCCTTGGCCTCTCAAAGTGCTGGGATTACAGGCGTGAGCCACCACGCCAGGCCAAGACTTTTATTTTCTAATTCACAGTCGGGGAAAGAAGTTTTAATTTTGTTTTGCTTTTTCCCTTGAGGAACTGAATGTTTTCTCTTTTCTGGTTTTAAAGTAAACTAACTTACTGTGTTTCTCTTTTTGCCCTCAAATTTGTTACCTGGTTAGTCCCTGCAGCTCTGTTATTCTTCATAATCGGCATGCCTGCTTTTACCACCTCTGATTTTCTGGTTCTACTGTCTTAGCCTTCATGTCTGTGTTACCTTTTCTGGAATCTGCTTCAGAAAGGTCTGAAGGGGAAAGTCTCTGAATAAATGAATGACTGACTCCCACCTATCTAATGACATGCTTTGTCTCCTGAATTCACAATAATTTACTCGGCATTTTAACATAACATATAGCATTTTGGGGGTACAGAGAAACTCTGAATTCACTCAGTGAGATTACAGGAATCTGAAGGAACATCAAAGTCTGATAAATATCACAGGGGCAGAGGAAGGGGTCTCGCATATTTGATGCTCTACATGCCTTCTCTGGTGTAATCCTCACCATGGTTCTCTAAGGTGGGTGTTTACAGATTAGGAAAGTAAAGCTCAGAGAAGGTTACTAACTTGCTCAGGATTACAAAGCAGCCCGAAGTGGAACCAGGAATAGAATGAAGGACAAAGTCCATAGCCAAGGCCTTTTCAGAATAGACCTTGTGGTCTCCAAATCAAAATAACCTGAAAGGTTTCCCAAGTGGCCATAAGATGGCAACTTGTGAGCTACATTTTTTTTTTTTTTTTTGAGATACAAGATCCTACTCTGTTGCCTAGGCTGAATACAATGGTGCTATCACAGGTTACTGCAGACTTGAACTCCTGGACTCAAATGATCCTCCCACTTCAGCCTCCTGAGTAGCTGGGACTACAAGCACGCACCACTACACCTGGCTAATGTTTATATTTTTTGCAGAGACTGGGTCTTGCTATGTTGCTGGTTTCAAACTCCTGGGTTCAAGCAATTCTTCTGCCTCGGCCTCCCAAAGTGCTGGGATTAAGGTGTGAGCCACCTACCCAATCAGATCCACATATTTGATGCATAAAATAAGCTATAGACTCTGCACCTCACTCTCCCCAAAGCTACAACCATATGGGCAGGGGAGATAGTTAACTTCCTTTGTGTGATATTAGCATGATTCTGCCATTAAAAACAAAAACAAAGGTTTCTTCCAGAAATAAAGGCCTCTGGGTGGCTGGATGTGAATGGATTAGGCAGGAGTTAGTTCCCTGTGCCTGCCCCTTTCTCCCAGTCTGCAGGGCCTCCCCGCATGCCATCAAAGTGTTCCTACCTTTCTCGCAGTAGGGCTCCCCATCTTCCATGTGGAAGAGGCTGTTCCCAAAAGGCTTCTTGCAGGCTGCACAGACGAAGCAGGTGGTGTGCCATGTCTGTCTCAAGGCATGCATCACTTCCTGGGGGAAAGAGCCTGAGCTCAGGACAGAAAGCAGAAAGGGAGCGGGCTTGACTACCCCACCAGGCTCCGGCCACTGCCCGAGCATCCTACTGGGGAATAGGGCAGGAGAGCTCAGGATGCAGGCCTCGGTCACTCTGAAGAAAGACCCAGGGGTGGCAGAGAAGGGGTTGTCACTCTCCAGCTGGGTGCCAGGTCTTGTGCATTCTTACATAAACTGTGATGCTTAATCCTCCCATTAAACCTGGGAGGAGGTACTGCTTATTACTGTCATTTACCAAAGAGGCATTGAGGGTCAAGGCCACATTCTGGTGAGTGGTAAAGTCAGGTTATGAAGCAATCACTTGCTTTGCAGAAGTTCCACCACCACTTCAAGCTGTGTGGTACAGGCGCACAATCATCTCTTGCATCAAGTTCATTTATCCCCAAGTTTATTGGTGGCAAACCAATTCCCTTTCAGGATAAAAATGGAGTTGCTTTCTCTCTGTTACCAGCAACTTCTTGGCTTCCTAATGGGACCCCATGATCTTGGGGAAGGGCTGGGGAAGAGATGTGGGTCAGAGGAAAGGGAGGCTGTCCACTTACCCCCATAATTTTGGTGTTGCACTTGGCACAGAGTGGGGCAAAGAACTGCTCATAACATCGCTCACAGTAAACGTTGTTCTGCTCTTCCACAAAGCACACATCTGCCAGGGAACTCTTGCAGTAGGCACAGTTGAACTCCTCAGGGTGCCAAGAACGGCCCATGGCTACCAGAAATGGGCCCCTGGGGAAGCAGAGAATGGCACCCAGTAAGGCAGCCCCCAGAACTTGGAACTAGGTATTTCAAGAACCCCAACACTGTTCATACTTTTACCCAATAACTCTGACTTTTGTGACTGTTCTGATGAAGTAATGTGAAATTCAGAGAAAGCTCCATGCAGAAAGGTGATCATTGTTGCATCACTTACAATAAAGAAAACCAGGAAGCAACTCAAACATCTACCAATAGGGGACTGGGTAAACATATCATAGAATTCAGTTGACCACTGATAATGATAGTAAGATATCCAATAATGATGATGCTGATGGCTAACATTTATTAAGTGATTACTGTGTGTCAGGTTCTATTCAAGAAGACTTTTGCATTTATTAACTTGCTTAATTCTCACAACAATCCTATGAAGTAGGTACTATTATAATACCCATTTTTAGATAGGGAAACTGAGGCACACAGAGTTTGAACAACTTGTTTAAGGCCATAGGGCTAGTAAGTGGTAGACCCAGGATACAAACCTGTATTGTCTAGCTCCAGGTTAGCAGTCAGAACAGTGGGACTACAAGGACATTTCTTTATATTCTAATTTTTATTTTTCTGTGTTTTCTAATTCTTCACTAATGAATATGTATTACCTTAGTTTTAAATAAAAGTGTATTTTTCATGCATATAAGCTCACACCACACATGCATACAAACATACTGTATTCAAACAACAGCACCCATGGTCCATGGCTTCTAAGTGTGAAATCACTTGTTTTCATTTTAGTCTGGCAGATGCCCACCAACTCCCTGAGCAGCCCAGGCCTATCTGTGGAAAGACCCAGAAGCAACCCTAAAGGAAAACCGGGTCAAAACCAACACTGTCTTACAACATGCCCCGTAAACCTACTGACAAGTCTGGTGATTCCCAGAACTCAACCTTAGCCCAAGGGGGAGTTCCTGGCACCAGGCACCCTGCTGGAGCTTCACCCACATACCTCATGCCAACCTCCCAGCTCCCTGGGGGAGTGGGTGTCACACAAGTATGGCAGCTAAGGCTCAGAGAGGTCAGACCAGAGGGCAAGCCAGAAGGACCCGAGCCTTTCTCCCTACACCTGCCTCCTACCCCCATCTCTCCCTACCAGGGCTCAGACTGTGGACAAGAACCCCGCACACACGCCCTTCCAGTGCCCCAATGCAGGGGCACAGCTGGACCATACCGGATGACGTTGTTGCAGTGGCCGCAGAGTGGAGTCCGGCTGCTGGCTGGGAAGCGCTCAGCCCTCTGGACGGTACCCCTGGCAAGTGGTGGCACCTGGGGACCCGCCGGGGTGTAGGCTGGCCCCCCCCGGGGCAGGGTCTGCTTGCTGATGGAAGTGGTGCTCTTGCCCGGGGCAAACTTCTGGGAGAAGCTGTCATCTGTCACCCAGGGGGGACGGCTAGCAGGCTCCGCAGGGCCCCCGCTATAGGCCGCTGAGGGTGCGGGGTTATAGTTGGGAGCAGGTGAAGGGGTATAGGCTAGTGCTGGGGATGGAGTGTAGGTGGGGGCAGGCGAGGGGGTATAGGCAGGGGCAGGCGAGGGGGTATAGGCAGGGGCAGGTGAGGGGGTGTAGGCAGGGGTAGGCGAGGGAGTGTAGGGAGTGGGACTGTAATTGGCCCCTGGGGACGGGCTGTAGGTAGATGCAGGCACTGCAAAAGCCAAAAACAAAACAAAACAAAACAAAACAAAAACCCCAAGAAAGGTGTGTCAGGAATTCATTCTTCCCAGTTCCCCTCACTCCCAGCCAGAGAAAAGGAAAAGGCGGCTTTAACATTAGAGCATACAATTTCAGTTTTTTTGGGAGACTTGTTCCTGAACTTCTTGATGGCCCAGATTTGAATTCTCAGCAGGGCTTCCAGAGAGCTAGAGAGCAAGCACAGCAGAGCCCTCGACATGGGCTGGAAAAGGGACATGGCTATAAATATCTGCAGCTGTGCAGGGTGGGGCTCCGCCAGGCCTTGACTGCCCAAGGCCTGCAGAAGACGGGGAGTGGGGGTGGGGGTACCTGGGCGGGAAGGGGTGGGAGTGGGTCAGCTCGCCCTTGACTGCACGATGCTTTCAGTTGCACTCTGACCAGTGATTTGACATCTGAAATACCATCCTTAGCATGAGTTTGCTGAACCTGGACCTAGGTCAGCCCTCAGGACAAAGCAGGTGACCTGGGTTTTCAGGTTCACGTTTCAGGTTTAGCTACAATTACTTTCTTGAAAAACAACTCAGCTTGATTTGTACTGGGGGAAATTCCATCTTGGTTTGATTAGGGTGGGGGATCTTGAAGGAGGCATTCAGAGGGTGCTGGGCAGAGACTCTAGGGTGACACAGCCAAGAAGTAGCTGCTCATTTGGCCCGTGGCTGCCCTGGGGGACCCCTGTACCTCCACATCGCTTTAGTGGAAGCTGAGAGTGTGTCTGAGTGACTGTCTAAAGATTGTCCAGGCAGTCAGAGCACAGGGAAGAGAATGCACTGCCTCACTTCTACCACACCCTCCTCCAACTCCCTGAGAGCAGAAAACCGTTTTGGGCTCACAGCACAGAAAAAGCATTGCAACTGCTTACCCACAGCCCTCTTCAGCCTGGGCTCTCAACACCCAGCCAGGGCAGACCCAGCTGTACCCTGCACGCAAGATCCAGCTGGCCTCCTCTTCCAGCGAGTGAGGTTCCAGAAGCCTCACCTCATTTCAGTCTGCTCCTCGGGAAAGAGGCCTCATTCCCCCAACCCTAGGAAGCATGTTGGCACAGCCTCCCTCCCCATTCCTGAGCTCAGCCTGGGCAGGATGGACTGCACTGAGGCAGTCCCCACACCCACACCCTGCCTCTGCCTCCCACCCCACACTCCAGCCTCAACCTGGAGAGGAAGGTTTTTCTTAGGGCCCAAGACCCTGGCCCCACCTCCAGTCTCTCTTTCCCACCTGGTTCCCCTGGGCCACCTGGGGCAGCCTGTGGCTCCCACTCTGCACCTTCCACTCCCAGGTGACCCACCTTTCAGAGCTGGATGACCTGGAAATCCCTGTGCTGGGGGTGAGTAGGGACCAGGTAGATAGGATCCATCCATGTTGTTGAAGGAAGAAGAGATAAAACCCTCCACAGCCCTGCCCCGGAGCCATCCTGCCAGTGAGGCCTTCAAAAGATAATACCGGCCGGGCATGGTGGCTCACACCTGTAATCCCAGCACTTTGGGAGGCTGAGGCAGGCGGATCACAAGGTCAGGAAATCAAGACCGTTCAGGCTAACACCATGAAACTCCGTCTCTACTAAAAATACACAAAATTAGCCAGGCATTGTGGCGAGCGCCTGTAGTCCCAGCTACTCAGGAGGCTGAGGCAGGAGAATGGTGTGAACCCAGGAGGCGGAGCTTGCAGTGAGCCGAGATTGTACCACTGCACTCCA